ATGAGCCAGCGAGACACGAAGACGGCCCAGAAGAAGTTCGACCCCAATGCCATGGGCGTAGACGCCTTCGGCAAAGGTGGCAAGGGCGACTCCAAGGGGAAGGGCTACGGCAGGTCAGACATGAAGGGCGGCAAGGCGGGTGGCCAAAAGGGTGCAGGGGGCCGCTGCGGCAAAAGCGACGGCAGAGGCAAGACTAAGAGTAAGACGGGTGAGGTGAAGTTATTCGACGAATGGTGCTCTAACCCGCACTGGGGCAAGTATGGACACAAGATGGCGGATTGCAGGAAGTACGGAGGCGGCGCGTACCAATCTGGAGGAGGTCAGCGGTCCGTGTCGGGGGTCCAGCCAGGATCTTCACAGCAACCTGGATCGGGCACAGCAAGTACGGTCCTTCCAGGCGGCCCAGCATCACAAGTGTCGGTACCTACGCAGGCCACAACACGCGTGCCTGGACGGGTGCAGGCAGCAGTACTACCAGAGGACGAAGCGGGTTGGATTGTTGCGTTCACGGGCGACCACGACGGGGACGAATGCGAGATGCTCGCTGGCAGTGGAGCTCACACTCATGTCGTACCAAAGACTATGACGGAGGGGTGCGCACCCACGGGCGAGCCAGGTCAGTCTTTGCGATCGATTACTGGAAAGGGTATACGGACATGGGGCAAGCGCACGTTGACTGGAGAGGTTTTCGATTCGAATACGACGATCAGTGCGAAGCTCAACGTCGCGCCAGCTGAAGTCCGCAGAGGTGCTCTTTCAGTCGCGGAAACGAACGATGCAGGTTATTCAGTACACTTTGACCCTGACGGAGCCAATATGTTCAGAAGCAACAAGAATGTGCAACATGAAAGTGACAAAGCACTGGGGTCTACTGTTTCACTCCAGCTACGTCGGAAGGTGAATGCATTTCTTCTTCCAATGAGGTTCAAGGATCCGACGGGCGACGAGTCCATCATCGGGGACGTCGACGAGCAACCTGAGGCGGAGGACGCACATATGAAGGAGGAGCCCGCCGAGAGGGAGCCCGCCGAGATGCAGGTCAGCAGTGGAGCGGCTAGTTCACGTGATGGTCCACGTTGTGCCGCTGGTGGGGCCCAGGATTCGCTAGGGGCGCCCGCCGCACCTGGCCTTAAGAAGCCAGTTCAAGTGTCGGGGAACTTGTCAGAGCGCACATTCGGAGGGGTCATGTACCTTTCGAGGCTTGGTGTCAGGAGTGCATGATGGGAAGGTGGCAAGAAGACCCTCACCGCGCAAGGGATCCAAACGCATCGGCTACTCCAGTTGTCTCATTTGACTATGGGTTTCTCAGTCCTGGCGAATATGCGCTGGTCACAAACTCACCCTGGCGGTGGGCAAGGACCGAAGGACTGTATACCTGATGGGGCGTGCTGTCGAGGCGAAAGGGAACCAGAGCTACGCCATAGCAGCCATCAGCGAGTTCTTGGGCGAGCTGGGCTACATGAGCATGGAGGTGCAGTGGGCGGCGAACCTGCACTGGAGGCCCTCATGAATGGAGTTGTTTCTGAGCGTACCAAGAATCTTAGCAAGGAGGCTGCAGAGGCTCAACTCCGAATACGGCTGGTTCCGAAAGGAAGCCATGCGTCTCAAGGAGGAGCTGAGAGTGGAGTCAAGTCTGCAGCAGGTCTTGCCAGGACTGGGCGTTTGGCTCTGGAGAGACGTTACAACATGAAGTTCACGGAGGATGTTCCCGTCATTCCCTGGCTGATACGTCATCAGATAGTCTGCCCACCACAGATACCAGCGGAGGAGGAGCAGCGGTCGCACATCTTTTGAGGAGTTGAGATTGGCACCGTATACATCACCCATGCTGGAGGTCGGGGAGACGGTGATCGGTAAGGAGCACACTGAGCTGCAGGACAAGCTGGACACGGCCTGGTGCAAAGGGATGTGGCTTGGACGCAGTGCAAAGAGCGACGCTCACATCATAGGTAAAGCAACTGGGATAGTTCATGCCAGGACGGCGAAATAGCTTACGAAGGAGGAGGGTTTCGATGCGGAGATTCTCAGAGCTATGAGATGGACGCCGTGGAAGACATCGGTGAAGGCTGGAATCTATGACGGCGAGAACTGGCAGCCAACTGAGGGATGTGCTGGGTGTGAGTACGCAGCAAAGGGTCAGCGCGGACGTGGCCGACCACCACACCACAGCAGGACATGCCAGCAGCGTCGGGCCGAGTATGAGAAGACTGTTGCCAGCAAGACCGAGGAGCAGCCAAAGGCCGTCGTGGTTCCAGTGCCCGCGATCAGCTCCGAGGCAGGTCATGGCAATCAACAAGCACCAGCAGGGCCCGAGCCAACACAAATTCGAGATCCAGTTTCGGAGGTCCGGCAGCAGGTGCACAGGATCGAGAGGAAGCTTCGTGGCAAGCAGGAGGCTCCCACCCCAGGATCGTCTAGCAAACGGGGAGCTGCTGACGCAGACCTTGGTGAAGGCGGCCCTGGGGGCCCACCTGGCAGTCGAGGTCTGGTGGGGGCCACCGAGGACATGAGCACGGAGGACCTCAAGAGGCTCGCGGCAGGCTTCAGCACCGAGGAGATGATGAAGCTTGCGGCCGAGGTCGACAAGGAGACGAAGGACGACAGCGAGTTCAGCGTCGCGATGGGCTGGACGGGGGACGACGAGTGGGAGGCGAAGCGGTGCGAGCTGGATCGGTTCGACAACTACGACGTGTGGGGGCTCACCCTCAGGGGCCCTCACGGTCCTAAGGCTCTTACTTGGACATGGGTATTGGAGATGGGGGGTGGCGAGCTCAAGGCAAGGCTTTGTGCGAGGCCATTTGGTGAGCAGATCAACAAGAGCAAGAACGAGCCGTACTGCCCCACTCCACTTTCGCGTTCACTCAAGTTGCTCATGGTGTACGCTATTGTGAAGGACTTTGCGATTTACTTCTTCGACATATCTCGAGCGTTTCTGCATGCACCTATTCGGGAGCTGGTTTATGCTGAGGTTCCGAAGGAGTGCTGCCACTTACCAGATAGTTCCGATTTGATTTTCAAGCTCAACAAGACAGTTTATGGGCTCAACGAGGCAATGATAGATTTCGATGACCACTTCGAGAACATTGCTACAGGACAGAGTGATGAATCAAAGATGACTTTCAAGAGGTTTCTGTCGGACCCGTGCACGTTCGCAGACAGGACCAATCAGGTGGCGATGTCCAAGCATGTCGATGACGGTACGCTGGTTGGGCCTAGAGTTTCAGCCAGCAGGGTTTTGGAGGAGCTCGGTACACACTTTCTGGTTAAGGTTTCAGAACTTACGGTTGGTGGTCCAGAGATCAAGCATCTTGGACGTGGCTGGCTCCGTACCCCCCAGGGTATTCAAGTTCGTATGTGGCCTGCTACACGGGGGGTACTATAGTTTTGACCATAAGACGTCATGCTCTCGACGCCCCCTGCCCCCACGTAGAATCTTAGCGACATGTTTTGGGTCGGGCGGCGGTTCGACTCTGATGGGCTCTCACCCTGTAAGAATGTGTATATATATATATATATATATATATATATATATATAACAGGGTGATAATTACTCCGTCCCATTTAAAATAGGGCCGGAAAACACTCCGACTTGAACCCATTCACAGTAAACCACTCCGCTTGGGTCACGTTTGATCGTCCGTGTCATCATCCCCATCGACCCTGTCCTTATCATGCCAACGCGATGTTTCATTGTATTCCTTTCTGCATTGATGCTGTGAGACCCTGGGCATCCTTCTCCACTGCGGTCGCTCTCGGTTCACTGGTTGGCCGTCCCAGAGGGCCCACAAAGGCTCGCGAATCCGCATCAAGGCACCTTTGCATCCTGATCGGTCCTCCGCGGCACGCGTGACCAGCGAGGCAATTCTCATCTTATGGTCAGAAACTTTAGCACCCCCGAAGTATTGTGAAGAAGCTACTCGACTCTGAGCCCAACGATAAGAAGACGAGCCCAATACCTGGGATCAAGAATGAGAGGAAGGCCGAGAGCGAGGAGGAGTTGGACGCAAAGGCGGCCACGAGGTTCAGGAGCATCAGCGGCCTCAACATGTCCGTTTGCTTAGAGAGGCCCGAGTGCCAGTACGCGGCGAAGGAGAGCTCGAGGGGGATGTCACGACCAACGGTGCAGGACCAGACGAGACTTATACGTATCATCAGGTTCATTCGAGCTCATCCGTCGTCGGTGACATGTATGTACCCAGACAGTGGTGAGTTCAGAATCGTAAGACGTGCAGATTCAAACTGGGCGGATGATCCAATCGGAAGGAAGTCTACCAGCTGTGGTCAGTTGTTTCTTAATGGAGCTTTGATCATGCAGTTCGTCAAAACACAAGGGGCTCCAACACTATCGTCACCCGAGGCCGAGTTCAACGCGCTCGTGCACGTCGGGATCGAGGCGAGGGGTGCCCATGCATATCTCAAGGAGCTCCTGGACGACACAGTGCCTGTGACGCTGGAGAGCGACAACTCTAGCGCACCGACGAACGTCGAGAAGAAGGGAGTTGGTAGGAAGCGGCATATCGAGCTGAAGGACCTGTGGATAAAGGACCTCGTCGCACGGAAGGCGGAGACGAAGGTCAGCACCAACAAGGCCCATGCCGAGGAGAATACAGCCGACATCGGGACGACGCAATTGTCGAGGATCGATTTAATGAGCATCTGACGGCAATGAAGGTATGGCTCACTGGTAAAGGTGAAGTTGGAGGAGTTCCGAGTTCAAGCAACGACAAGAATGGGCCAGATCGGTAAACCTGCGCTGGAGCTAATGGGTGCACTTGCCCAGTGCTTGGTGGGTCTTGGTGCGTTTGTTCAAATTGGACGCGCAGATGCCACTGAGATAATGAAAGGTGACTACCAGCCAGTCGCGATCTCAAGCCCTGCAGATGATGAGAGCCATTTTGGCGTTTCCACAACGGTCGCGATGATGATGCTCACCCTTTTGAGTGTTATCGCAGCGGGTGCAGTCTTTAAAGTCAAGCAGCACATCGACCGCATCATGCAGC